TCGAAAACAATACAGCATACAAGTTGACACATGTGAAAGTCCCATTTAAAAAAGTTTTTAATGTCATATTGTGAAAGGAAATTATGATTTCAAGCCTTTAATACATTCATTATCTATGCAGGCATTCTATTTTTTTTAATTTGGCATAGACTGCCTTCATCTGACAAATTATTTCCGTGAAGGATACTCTAGTGGCCATGGGAATGTCATACAAAAGGAGAACAGCAATTGCACTCAACTTAAGAGTTCTAAATAAGGGCCGTTTTTACAAAGAGTCTAATCAAAGAGTAGTTATACTTGAGCCAAAATGTTCAAAAATCAGTTTGGGTGGTCGTTTTATGACCGGAGGTAAAGAATGGATCGTTTCTGGATTCGAGAAGGTTAAGCACATTTTAAGTGGGAGATTTAAATGATGGGACAAAAACTGATTACAGCGGTCAGGCTGATGTGAACATAGGTTTATAGAAGAGCACCTCCTCCACTGAGGACAAGTACAAGAAGCAATTTGATCAAATAAAAACATCTCCAGTTTCCACAGATCAGATAAAGATGCCGTTCAGATTGTGTAAACTTTCAGTAAGTGTATGACTGGAATTTATTTTGGGCTCAACCAAAAACACACCGATGGAGCTTGCTTTTGGCTATATCTTAAAATATGTGTAACTACATATGGTTAGTAGGCCTATTGTGGCGTATCATATTGCAGTGATTTGGGGTGGAAAAAAAAAATATATTTACCTCAAGTGCAGAGTCATTATCAAACTTGAAGCTTGTGTGTGTTTCTTCATTTGATAGGTTTCCTCTTAATCCAGTGTAGTTTTCGTTTGTGTTGCCAGTATTGCTTTACAGTTTACAGAGTGAGAAGTAGCTCCAAATGATTCTGTGAGCTCTTCGAATTAGTAATCGGTTCAGACCATCTACTCACGCCTGCAACCAGTAAATGAAGAGTTGACCCCCAAAAAAGTTCTTTATCCAATGTTTAGATGCTCATTTGGTCAGGAAATGTGAACGACTCATTGACTCCAAACACAGTGCGTGAGTAGGCTATCCAAATGTATCATACTGAATTGTGAACTGATTTAGACCATTTTTCTAATGACCCATCTGATCAATTCATGGAAAAGAACCAACTCGAAAGAATGATTCATTTAAGAATCAGACATCGCTAGTTTAGACAACATGAGTCCCATGACTGATAAATCCTTTTTATGTGATTGCTGTATACTGACCTGAGAAGTTATCTAGTAATATGCTTATTTCAGCAATCATTTTGTGTGTTTTAGTTCTGAACTTGTTCGCAATTAATTCAGACTGTTCACTCGTGCACTGAATCATTTGTGGTTTCTCACACTGTAAAGAGATACTTTATATATTTGTGCATGTCAGCCCTTTTAACCGGACGCAAGTCGGCTTTTGGCACAGTGCTCTTGTTCATCAATTATAGAAAAGATAATCCAAGCGAGTTCGCCATAAGGACAGTTTTCTGATCATTGCTTCAATTTTATTAGAAAGAGTGATGAGCAATGCATTTTGAAATTCTGCGTTTAGATCTTTAAGTCGGCTGAAAATGTCAGCTTGGTAGGCCAGAAGGACAAGCCATTGTTCATCAGAAAATGTTGGAGCTAGCAGGGACTTTTCCTGCAAAGAAAGATCCTGACATCTTCTCGGAGCTCAGAGTCAACAGAGAACTTGTTCTGTGGAAAGCCACTGTACTTCACTGTGAAACAGCAGCTGTTGATGTTCACCCATCTCTTGACAGAGAACTTTGAAAAGTTGTGTGCTCGTTGCACTCATTTTTATCGCGTTGAATGTGCGAACGGCTTCATCCATCACTTGATTCATAATGGGTGGCATTTTCTTAGCCGCAAGAGCTTGTCTTTGTATCATGCAATGCGTCCACACTGCAACTGGAGCGACAGCCTGTACTTTTGTCACCAATCCACTGTGTTTGCTAGTCATTTCTCACACAGTTTTTCCATTCAACGTCATGTTCGTACACATAAATCCAATGTGACAACAAGTTGCTCAAAAAAGGGCAACAGAACAAAAAAATCCTCCTTAATTTGATGGAAAAAACCATCCATCCATCCATCCATGATCCATCCATTTTCTTCCGCACATCCGGGTCCGGGTCCGGGTCCAGGTCGCGGGGGCAGCAATCTAAGCAGAGATGCCTTGACTTCCCTCTCCCTAGACACTACCTCCAGCTCTTCTGGGGGGACACCGAGGCGTTCCCTGGCCAGTCGGGAGACATAGTCTCTCCAGAGTGTACTAGGTCTTCCCTGGGGACTCTGCCCAGTGGGACGTTCCCGGAACACCTCCCTGGGGAGGCGTCCAGGAGGCATCCGGAACAGATGCCCGAGCCACCTCAGCTGACCCTTCGCGATTGTGGAGGAGCAGCGGCTCTACTCTGAGCTCCACCCGAGTGACTCAGCTTCTCACCCTATCTCTAAGGGATCGCCCAGCCACCCTGCGGAGAAAGCTCATTTCGGCCGCCTGTATCCGGGATCTTGTCCTTTCGGTCATGACCCAAAGCTCATGACCATAGGTGAAAGTAGGAACGTAGATTTACCGGTAAATCGAGAGCTTTGCTGACGGCTCAGCTCCTTCTTTACCACAACAGACCGGTACATCGACCGCATTGCTGCAGAAGCTGCACCGATCCGTCTGTCAATCTCTCGTTCCATCCTTCCCTCACTGATGAACAAAACCCCAAGATACTTAAACTTCTCCAAGAAAAAAACAACCTTAGGGGAGGTGTTAAACCAACACCAAGATTTCTCCACCAACACCAAGGCCTCAGATTTGGAGGTGCGGATTTTCATCCCAGCTGCTTTGCACTCGGCTGCAAACCGTCCCAGTGCATGCTGAAGGTCCTGGTGTGAAGGGGCCAACACGACAACATCATCCGCAAAGAGCAGAGACGAAATCGTGTGGTCCCCAAACCTGACACCCTCCGGCCCCTGGCTGTGCCTAGAAATTCTGTCCATAAAAATTCTGAACAAAACCAGCGACAAAGGGCAGCCCTGCTGGAGTCCAACATGCACCGGGAAGAAGTCTGACTTACTACCGGCAATGCGAACCAAGCTCCTGACAAATCTAACGTAAACCATTAAATGGTCTTCTCCAGAAATGCTCTCGCTCTTGCCAAGTTGGAAAGAGAAAAGAATTGCTTGATTTAATTTTAGTGATTATCTTCTCTTTAGCATCTGTTGCCATTCACCCAATACTATTGGCCACTGTATCATTTGAGACTGTAATCAATACTAATTGATAAGCACTGAACAGACTATAGTCTATATTCACACTAACAGAAATAGTCTGCACAGCGCAGGGTAGAAAAAAATGTCTAGCCTAAATTGTGTGGCTTCCCAGTTTTGGCAATCCAATGAGAGATCATGAACGGGGCGCGAAGAGCCCTCTCATTCACCGTAATGCCTTTCTGTAGCAGTGATTTTTGACCACATATCTTCTGTAGTTTTCGCTGTAAAATATTCCTTCGCCAAGCAATGTAGTTCCAAAGAGGTTGCCAAGCAACATGCAGCAACTATCACAAACGGCAAACGGTAAGCTAAAACGTACTAAAAATTTATTTCAAAGTGAATGATCATTTTAATAAAAATACAGCTGTTCATTGTATGTTCATGTAAATGCACCCTGCTTTAATACAAATTTGTTTTTGTTTTTTGATGATTTTAATCGTGTATTAGTAAATGCAATTAAGTATTAATTGCAATTATTAAATTAAGTATTGTTCATTCTTAGTTCATGTTAACTAATGAACCTTATTGTAAAGTGTTACCAGACAATTTATATCCATACACCAGTAATAAAACAGTATCAATATATGGGGAAAATGTTTTGATGAGGAGCATGATGGGGATGGTGTCACAAAGCCTTCGACTTTTTTTTTTCTCTCGCAATATCGAATGATATAAACTGCAAGTCTGCATTTTTCCCTCACAATTATGACTTAAAATTGTGATTTTACAAATTGTACCTTTTTATTTACCTTTAATTACATGACAGAAACCAGCTCCCCTGCTAATGCTATTCTATTTTAGAAAAGGTCAAAGAAAGTTATCATTACCCATCCAGACATGGTCACAGTCGGTTTGAAAAGGTCTTCATCATTGTGTGCTAAAATGACATCTGTCCCTAATACCTTATCTCTCTGTGGAGTTTGTAAAAATTGAATCCATGTCTTCATCAAGAACATGTCTGCTAACCACTGACTTTTTTTGTCAGTGAAGAGAAGCCATCAAAAGGATCATAAATATTGAATTATGAATGCAACTAAAGAGTAAACAACTAAAAAAGTAATTTTCCCCCATCTAAAACTGTTGCTTTGACCGAGGGTCGAAAGAAGGACACAGCACAATAATGTGTGTCATCTCTGCAGTTTCGCTCTCTCTCTCTCTCTCTTTTTGCTGTCGGTCACACTCTCTCACTGGATGTGTCTGTCAAGTTATGAAGTGTCCCGGCGCTCAGGACTCATGCTGTGCTGACTCTGCAGAATGAACATGCTCTCAGCATGCAAAGACCGCTAAGTCATCTCTCAGTCCTGGGATATTATTCCCACAAACGTCCAAGCAGCCACAGCATGACAGGAAGATAGACTTTTCATTGAATATCTTATTTTTTATCTTACGAATTGTTTGTTAGTAATATGAAGTCGAAGACGAAAACATTTCGAAACAGCAGTAACCAGCTAATCAATGGAGACACCCACCCATATATATATATATATATATATATATATATATTTCAGTCTGCTATCACCATTCATTTATTTATTTAAAATAAAGTCCCTAATTTACACAAATGGAGTAAAGTATTGTTTATATGTTATATGAATATTTTTTTTGTATGTAAAATCATAATATATTTAGTTTGTCATTTTCATAGTAGTCCTCCTCTGTTTGTAAAGTCTAAATTCCTTTTATCAGTGTGGCAAGCATGAAAAGAGAGAGAAAAAAAGAAGAAACAAAAAAGACAAAAAAATTTTACTTTTATTTTTCCTTTGAGCGCCACATATTCAGCTTTTGGGCTGCAGGTAATGCCAGTGCATCTTTGGAAAAAGCTATTCCATCAGGGCTTGATTGAAAATCTTGAGTAGCCGAAGCCTGCCTCTATTTCATGTGCCCATGTCCTTGGTTTTCATCTTCAGAAGGTGTCTGGGGACCTACAGATAGATATAGGAAATTTGTACAAAAAAAAAAAAAAGTGTCTCAAGCTAAAGAAATCAATTCAGGCACAGACTGATGTGATCTCAGTGTCAAGCTTGGTGAGGATTCTCATCACACAAGCCGTCAGTAAGGGTCATTTCAAACATTGAAATTATTGTAGACTCTTGTCTCTTAAAGATTAGATTTTTAGACTCTGGATTTTCCATAAACATTTTTTAGATTTCAAAACTTAAACATTTAACATTTAGACCTTAAAGGATTGCCATTTTTAATCAGGTAAAAGATTGGAGGTCAATATGATTTAAAAAAAAAAAAAACAAAAAAAAACACATTTTTATTCAGCAAAGAAAACATTAATTGGAAACAGGTGTTTCACAGATTAGATGAGGACATGACTGCAGCAGCAGGTGACGAGGCTGAAACCAGAACATCTACAGCATCTCTTTTTAGTTACTCTTTCACCGTGACTCTACTTGCCGGAAGCTATTATAAAAATTTAAATATAGATATTTTTTAACAAAACACATCACTTCATATCAGTAGGCCTTCATTAGGGGAGCGCAGGGCACAACCTAAGGTGGGGCTAAATGCAACACAGACCTTTACATAGTTACTCAGGGTCACGCAGGTTGTGTTTGCGCTATTTTTCTCTCGCTGCCAGAAGATGGTCTCCCGTGGATTTGTGGAAAGTTTTGATAATACTTTGTGAAGATACTGGACAAAGAGTGTTTTGAAACCATGAAAGTGATTTTTTTTTCTTAAATAGTTTTTTTTTTTTTTTTTTTTTTTTCAGTTTCTGAGTTGGGTCTATATGTTTCCAAATCTAACTTCATATTGGCTTAATCACTGTCTTGTTGGCTCAAGCATACAGTGTTTCCGCTACATTCATTCCGCTGTGGTGGGCCGCCACACCTAAAATCTTACCGCCACGGCTGCAGCTTCTCAGTGAGGTCAGATTTTCTGCATATTGTGTTTGTTAAGCCCCACTAAAGACATAAAAAAAACTTTGTGAAGCATAATCAAGTTTTCGCACTCTATTCCAAGACTTCTAAAGTCATTCAATAGCATAATGTGTGGTAAAATGAATATTTTAGTCCTTAAGTTAGTCAATGGAAAGTCATCTCTCCTCAGTCATTCTCCATTCGGCATTCAAACAGCACGTCGCGTTCGGTTGCGACAGTAACACGACGACACTCTCCTGAAGATCAATGTTATTATTATACTTTATTTGTAGATAAAGCATAAAGGTCTTTGGTTTACATAAAATGACTTTATCTTGCTGGAGTTTATTGCCCTCCCCTTTCTAAATCATATTCCTTTCTCCCGGGTGTCTGTTAGATTACAGCGCATATATAAACAGTGTGCTGTGAATGTCCTGAATGTGACTCGCAGAAAGACGCGTGCCAGAATATTGCGCATACACAGACCGCGTGCCAGAATGCAGCTCTCTTTCGTGCTTGAACGGACAATAACACACACAGTTATGCCAAAATGTCGTTTTGTCGAGTATCTTGCATCATGCAGCCCTACTAAGCATAGATAGATATAATCCCTTCGCTACGCACCTTTGCACCATAGCACCTTTTTGTAACAACGGTTTCAATATATAGGCTTAAAATATGTAATACACAGTGGGGTTAGTTGTAACACAGTGTTAAAATACCCGAGAAGAGAACGTTAAAATGATGATGCGACAAATATTTCGCTTCCCTTTGACACGACAAGCTTTTCACGACTTCAACGACAGATGCAGGTAATTGCACGCGCTCTGCCGATCTAGCTCATTCACTGTCTGTGTGAAGCCTGTAGGCTACACATCACCATGATTAACAGTCTTGTTATCATTATGAACTTGTTTAACATTTAATACACATGCATTAAGTTCAAAACAAGAAGGGTATACCCAAGAAGGGTATAACGTGAATATCGCGGTTGCTGCGGTTACATGCTATCCTCTGCGGTTGACTTGTCAGAAGTGCAGTACTACAATATTGTGGTTACCGCGGCAGCCCTATAGCTACCTATACAGATGCACATACAATATCAAACTATACAAATAAAATTGTACTGAATTATGTGTGTTACACACAAGTGTTACCCCATATGCAAGGTTAATTGTAATAGACAGAGGGATTAGTTGTAAGTTGTAACATTTGCAGTACAACTGTACGAAAATGGTAGGTCCTAGAAAAAAAACTTTAACTGTTCATTTGTAGCATAGATGTGCATGTTGCTTATGTACAAAATAAATTAAATCTAACCTAATTATTTTTAATTAATTGAGCCAAAACCAACATGTGTTAGGTTGTGCCCCACTCTCCCCTATATTTATTTATATTTGTAAATTGTAGCACAGTAACATGCTGGAGATAACTTGGAGAAACTGAATAGTATAACCACTTCAACACAAACATTGAACACTCACAAAAAAAAAAAAAAAAAAAAAAAAACAGGACGAGGAACTAACTAGAACTGGGGGGCTGTTTACATGACACCCATTTCAACTAAAAGCTTAAAACGTCCCGGGTTACGCATGTAACCCTAGTTCCACGAAGGGACGGACGCTGCGTTTAATCGCAGTGGGACTGCCCCCCAGCGTAATGCATCTAAAGCATCAATGAAATCAGTCAATGGAGAGATGGAGCATCACAGCAAGTGACGTTATCGACCAGGAAGATATAAATATCCCCTGAATACATAAGCCGCCAGCTTCTAATGTTAGTGAAGCAAGCGACCCAAGGGGATGCCGGGAGTATGGCAGGGGACACAGCGTCCGTCCCTTTGGGGAACTAGGGACATTCCCCTTCAGGGACTACCGCTGCGTGTAATCGCAGTGGTAACACAATACCCACATCCCCATACGAACAAGTCCCCTTCGTGTGTGATAAGGAGACATAAGCCGAAGAGAGAACCTGAGCCCCGGGAGTGGAGCTAAATTAAAGAGAATAAAACCTTAGTAGTAGAAGTAGTTGAATAAAACCTTAGAAGTAGTTGGTACCTTAGGAACATACCCTGGTCTCGGACAGAGAAAAGCCTCGCCTAAGAGAGTAGGTCTCTCCTGATTGGTATCTCGATCAGGAGCCGTCGAGGAGAGACACTAGGTCCGCGAACCATACTCGAGCCGGCCAGAACGGGGCAATTAGCAGAAGACTGAGAGCCCGTCCCTGCGAACCCTCTCCAGAAGCTCCCGGGAGCAGAGCTATCGGGGGAAATGCGTACAGACGTGACCTCGGCCACAAATGTACCATCGCATCCAACCCCAGCGGGGCTGGAGGGCTGAGAGAGAACCACAGAGGACAGTGTGATGTTTCTCGGGAAGCATATAGGTCTACCCCGGCATGACCGAAATGTTCCCATAGGAACTCCCATCACCTCAGAGTGAAGACTCCATTCCCCAGGTCTCGGCCCCTGTATTGACAGGATGTCTGCCCCCTGTTTTAAATACCCCGGGAGATAAATAGTTCTCAGAGAAATAATTCTCCCCTGGGACCATAGGAGAATCTCACGTGCGGGCGAGAATGCAGACCCCCCTGATGGTTGATATAAGAGACCACCGATGTGTTGTCTGTTTGGACAAGAACATGGTGGCCCCTTAGGTCAGGGAGGAAGTGTTTCAGAGCCTGAAACACTGCCAACATAGACAATTTATGTGCCATAGACGGTGATGGTCCTGCCACAGACCCCGAGCTGGGCGACCACTCATGATCGCTCCCCAACCCGTGAGAGAGGCATCTGTCGTTAGCATCACGTGACAACAAGGAGCTCCCCACACAGGGTCTTGGGACAGAAAACAAGGATCTTTCCACATGACCAGGGCGTGACAAACCCGTCGCGAACTCACGATCATGCGAAATGGATTTCCCCTTGGGAAGAATCCCTTGGTTCTGAGCCACCACTGCAACGGTCTCATGTGCAGGAGGCCAAAAGGTATCACGTTGGACGCAGCTGCCATGAGACCTAACAGTCCCTGGAACTGTTTTACAGTGGATGACTGGCCTAGCTTGATCAGATCTACTGCGGTGAGAAACGAAGCAACATGAGCAGGTGACAATCGTGCCTGCATCGTCATTGAATCCCACACTCTCTTGTATCCCCAATAGAATCCCCAATCTCTTGATGTGAGCAAGAACGACATCTCGATGCCGAAACGCCTGTTGTTCCGATTGAGCTAGAATTAACCAATCGTCTGTATAGTTCAGAATGCGGATGCCCTGCAGCCTGAGCGGAGCTATAGCTGCATCCATACACTTCGTGAACGTGCAGGCTGCGGAGCTATAGCTGCATCCATACACTTCGTGAACGTGCTGGGTGACAGTGCTAGCCCAAACGGAAGAACCCGATATTGGTACACGTCGGCCCCGAAAGCGAACCTCAGGAACGTCCTGTGTTGAGGGAGGATAGATACATGGAAGTAAGCCTCCTTTAGATCTATCGTTACAAATCAGTCCTCGGATCTAATTTGTGACACAATCTGATTTAAGAGACGCAGATCTAGAATGGGACGCAGCCCTCCATCTTTTTTTCAGAACGATGAAGTACAGGCTGTAGTATCCTAACTCCCTACTGGGTGGATGAACCCGTTCTATAGCCCCTTTTTGCAGCAGAGTTTTTACCTCCTGTTCTAATACCAGAGCCTGCTCGGGGCCCACCACAGTGGGCAGAACCCCTCTGAACCAAGGTGGACGTGTTCTGAAATGAATAGCGTACCCATTCTTTATAATATTCAGGACCCACTGAACCCACTTCTGTGGGTCCTGAATATTCAGGACCCACAGAAACATTGGGAAGCATTTCCATTTCCGCCACTAACTCTACAAAGGGAACCAGCCTCTCGAGGCTGGCCTCTGGATGAACATCCCGAGTGACAAACACAGCGCCCTATAACATACTGGCAGAAAACAGCTGGTCTGAGCACTCCACAACCCTCCTCGGAGGGGGCGAGTGTCCCTCAGGAAATCGCTCGCCGAGTCTCTCTACGCCCTGTATAGGCAGGGTTAGTAGAACAGGCCCCTGAGGGCATCGAGAAAGACAGGGCACCGTGTGTTTGTGGTGAACTCAAGTCTTTCCCGATGGGGACCACCCTCAGAGTCCTGATGTTCAGCACGTCAGGACTTTTTCGACGTGGCCTTCCTGGCGACAATGACTGTCCTCAGATCAGTCCTGCCCCGAGAAGGCCGCACCAGAGAGCGCCCCGCTTCGTCCCTCCAGTTTCTCTGTGGGGGGGCACGAGACGTGACACTCCGCTTCTGCTGTGCTCTTTTGGAAGATGAACTCGACGGCTGGGACTGTCCTCGTTCAGCAGCCCCAGTGACACGCACTTTGAGAGGGATAAACTTATGAAAGGCAGCCGCCTGTTTTTTCTCTTCCTGGAACCTCACCGAAGAGGCCCGCAGGCGAAACGGGAGCATTTAAAAGGAGTCTTGTCTTTTTCTTTCATAGAGGTCTGACTCAACCATAAGTGCCTTTATGTGGCCAACATGGCTGCCATAGACCAACTGATAGATTTTGTGGTCTCTCTGGTGGCCCGGAGAGTTAGATCAGCAGTCTGCCTGAGATTGTTAATCATATCTGCAGAAAGTTCTCCCCCCTCACACACATCTTTGAGCAGGTCGGCCTGATAAGCCTGCATAATAGCCATTGTATGCAAGCATGCAGCCGCCGAGTATAAGCCTTCCCAACCAGCACAGAAGTATTTTTTGTGGTCTAGATGGAAGAGCCGGTGCTTTAAGTGAAGACAACGAAGCAGGAGAGAGATAGCTCGCAAGCGTCTCCTCCACCTTCGACATCGTCACACATCCAGCAGATTTAGCACCAAAAATGTTACCATAAGCATAGGACTGATTACTGTAAATTCTGCTTGAAACCGGTCTAACCCAGGTCTTTGAAACTTCAGCATGAAGATCTGGGAAGAATGGTAAGCACGAGAAGGTTGAGGTCCTGCAGACAGAAATCTATCATCTAGTTTACTTTTATTTCTAGACTCCTATCAGCTGGCCACTCAATACTGAGCTTTTCAACAGCCTGAGATAACACATCTATCAAACCTTCATTTTCAGTATACTGTGACAAACTAGTTTCCTCTAATGCAAAACTTTCAATATACAGCTCCTCGGAACTGGATAATCTCAATTCAACATCATCATGTGCCTCCACCCGGGCAGAAGTAACCGCCTGGGTGAGAGGCACTGGATCCTCTGAGATATCTCAGCTTTCTGAGATCCTCTCAGAAAGCTGAGATAGGGCGGGGCCTGTCACAACTTCGCCGATGAGATCCATCTGCGAAGCCCAAGACAAGTGCTGCCGCTCTGCCTCAACAGAAGCCACTCTGCCTCCCCGAGCCTAGGGGAGCTCGGAGCATACCACTCTCCTCGAAGAGCTATCGCCACGAGCGCAGAGTTCTCAGAGGAAAGCGCTCGCAATGCTCACAATTGACTCCCTCGAGAGCCAACTGGGCATGCTGCACTCCCAAACAAGCCACACATAGCTTGTGTGAATCCCCACCCGTGATTGCATCACGGGTGAAGCATTTGAAATGTTCCTATTTTAGTTTTAAGAGTTCCCAAACGTCAATGCAAGGATGAAAAACACTTTATTTGTCTTATAATATGCATTTATATTTACCCGATTTACTCAACGACTCCCAAATGATTCGTTCGACGATTCATTTTCCCAAACACCTCCTTTGAGTGACGCGAATCTGCAGCGATTGGTCAAATGACCCAGTCAGTTGTTATTGGTAAACCGTAGGCAGAGACTGTCGGCAACGGAACGCCCATAACCAGGATTATGGCTTGTCAAGTATTGAAAATTGCATATAGTGTTTGAACAAACGTGTCAAAAAAAGTGCACTTACACGGTCCCTTACTCGCGTCTCCGTCCAGAGCAAGATTTCCCGGAGAAACTCACATTGCGGGGGCTTTTGAGGGGCAGTGCTTATAATATAGAGCGAAGTCATTTTTCAATGAATGTCTGGTGAATATCAAAAACAAAACTAACTTTACCCCGCTTAGAAGCTGCGCGGAGTGTACACAACACACACAACACAATATAACTAACATGCTACAGAAAACATAACAGCAAACATTATTAATATTACTTACAGATTGTGATTCGGAGGAGGACGAACCTGATCCATATACACTGGATACTGAGCCCTCCTTCAGGAACAACCGGCTTGCGAATGATTCGTCATTAAAATGATGAGAACACAAGGTTCGGGCTATACTGTTGTGGTATTATTGCTAATATGAACTCTGACCACTGATTCTTCACATGCTCGTCCCAGGACAATGGAAACAAGTAGCTGAACAATCTTTGCAATGTAGAACACAGCGTCTTCTTGACATGATGCGATTCAGCTGAAGTATTTGAATGTGTTCTAGACGTCACTTCAAGTCTGCGCACGCATTTGTTGGGAGCGGCCAATGACCTGTCTACGTCACGATGTAACAGCTAATGACTCATTTCAAAAACAATTCAATTCATAGACTCAGAGACGACTCTCACTTTTGAAAGACAATAACTTTATATATGGTGCTGGTGCACTATCAGATATAAATCTTTGCAGGATGTTTTCATTCCCTTAGAGCTATATTCCACACTAAATGAACAGTCATTTTCAAAAATCCATGATAGGTGCTCTTTAATTAATATATATATATATATATATATATATATATATACACACACACACACACACACATACATACATACATAACCCTCCTACACAATTCCACTTTTTTTCTGGATTTATAATACGCATGGGGAAATGAATTGGTTAAAGGTTACTAGAGTTTAAAATCAGGATTTAATCACAACAATTAAAACTTTGGGCAATAAATTCTGTCTAGAGTGCAGAGAGGCCTGGTTAGCTTAAATATAGCTATCCTGTGTCTTTTGTTTGTTTCCTGCGAGCATAAAACTCCCATGCACATATACAGAACCACTAAAACCCTTGTTTGAGGAAAAAAATAAAGTCACTCTGATCACACGCACTTAGAAATCAGACCACAAAATTGAAAGTTATACTCAACATGTATATATATATTTTTTTTTTAGAACTAGGTGAGGGAACCTTTCAAAATGTCCTCAAGTTCCAAATGAGATGACAATGAACAATACAATTTTTCTTTCTACTAAACCTCTCAGATTTTGTGGTAACATTACCACAACGTCGGTGCGCTTGTTGGAGCTCAGTTGAAAAAAAAAATATTGTCTGTAACGTTACTCACGGTTCCTCGGTGACAGATTATAAAGACCGTCTATCCAAACCGTTCGGTCCATCGGTGAAATCCACATTGGAGAAAACCCGTCCTGAAACTTTGTCCGTCCACGTGCAAAACACCGACATCTCCGGCCTACAACGTGAATCACGAGCACATCTATTGCATCAACATGGATGGCAGCATCTCACGCACACTAGCCAAAAATTCACAAAATCGAATGAGCTTAATTATATATTGTCCAAATATGTCAATTTACTCTGAGTTCACAATGTCCATACTCACTCAAAACTCGGTGGCAAAGAGGATTTCAGACTATGGCGTCGCAGTTCGCACCGGTTCGCACATGGCTATGGAGTCACAGTTCACACATGCCATACAGTAATTTTACTTCAGTAGAATCTCCGTGGCAGATTTAACCAGCTCCAAAATAAAGCTCACCCTACCATTTTAACATGGTTACACATTTACAAAACTCAAAAAAATACCCCACTGGTCCTTAACTTTGATGAACAGCAATGTATCACTCATACAGACTTTGCAACTCGTAGCTCTTTCCCGTACTTTCACAGTCTCGCAGTTTTAGCCCCGCCCCTCAACAATCCGGTAGGCTGTCAACTGCTCTCTGGATGGCACTGATTGGATAACTAACGAAACTGACACCTGGCCATCCAATACGAAATAGAGTGACAGAGGGTTCAAAGGTTACTTACAAACCACGATATTTCAACACCTCACTATTTATAACTGAATTAACATGTATTAATACGAAAATATGTTACATATTACATCAGGGCAATTGAACTGGCCCATATAAAAGAACACAAAATAAAAAATATAGCAATATAAATTTAGCAAGGTGCTATATATAATCACTATATATATAGTGATAAACTCCTGAAAGAACAGAGCGCTTGCTGAAGTAACAGCTGGCGGCTTGTGTGTTCAGGGGATATTTATAGCTTCCTGGTCGATGACGTCACTTGCTGTGACGCTCTATCTCTCCATTGACTGATTTCATTCAGTTTCAGACGCGTTACGCTGGGGGGCGTTCCCACTGGCTAGTCCCTGAAGGGGAATTTATGCGTTTTGGGTGCCTGAAAATGCGAACTTCTGAAAACTGTGTCAAAGGAAAACAGGCAAACAACTGAATGCAATGAAAACAAAGACCAAACAGACCCTGACAGCTTAACTCTTTGAAATGAAAATGCAGACATTTCATAACCCTGGCTGTGCTTGAAAATTCCGTTAAAAATTCTGTATAAGTTTAAACATTTCTGAGGGGGAGAAGTATTGATTAAGGCATGTGATTTCTATAGAAAATCTATAGATATCCAGCAGATACTGTATGATTAATAAAAGCAAACTCTTCATGATATAATCGACCCCCCTCTTAGTTTACTTTGGTAGTTGAAATGTTGACATAGGCCTACATTATTCAAGATTGACCTAAAATCCTCCTGTGACTTCACTTTACGCAATATTGCTGTAAACTCCATGTGGAATTATTTTATAACGGGTATTTTATTAAGTGTGAAGATAAAACCTGCAAAAACAAATTACATGCCTAATACATTTCAAAGCTGAATGAGGATTTGCAGACTTTAAATCATAATTATACGCATACAAATGACTGAGTTAATACCTGTGAGAGGAATAATGATGGTAAACTCAAATCAAAACAAATCCAATCAAAACAAATCAAATCAAAAATCAAAAGTTATTTATTTTTTTGTTGTTAATCAATGAGGCTTTTTAATCACCCGAGCAGTTGGAAATGAGGTGCCTCAGAGGTGTGTTTTGTTGAAGGTTACATGTCGTCTGTTCTCTGTTGACAAGTGTCTTATAAACAGATCCACTGTTCTTTCCAACCCCTCATGGCATTATCTTTATTCAAATTGTTCATACTAGATTAACAAATGCCATGTACTTTTGCTTACGAGAGTTTATTTCAAATGTGTACGTATAGAGTATGTTAGGTTGTTTTGTAATTACCCAAATTACACACAGTGCAGTGCTTACATTTTTACTCCATATTTGAAATGTAATTATGACAATGTTTCCAAGATAAACACATCATGCCTCTCCTACTAGCTAAGGTTAATTAGCTACACAAATGAACACACCCCTCCCTCATTGAACCACCATCAAAATAACATAATGCAAAAGTGGATGTCTCTTTATCACAGCTGAAGTAAAGCATAATAATTCTCTGCAAAAAATAAATAAATAAATAAAATAAATAGAGCAAAAACGACGAACGAATAGCAAGGAAGAACAAAATATGAACACACAGTACAAAAGAGAAGAGTTGGTTGGTTGCCAGCAGCTTACCAGCTCCAGACAAACAGAGACACTCAAAACTGTATTGTTACAAGCTAACACTATACAACAGCATTTCTTGTTTCTGTAAAACATAGCATTACTCACGCATGGAGCAGAAACAACGCAACCTCTCGTCTGTTTTCAGTCCTTCCCTCTTAGTTCTCTCCTTTCTAATATTAACGCAGGTCTTAAAGGATGTGCCTGATCATAACCCTTCTTTGTCCAGTGATAATCTGACCTTTTCTCTTTTGTAATGTCTCACAGCCATCTCTCTTTCTACAGTCTTTCTTCAAATCTCCCTCTTGCTTACTATCTCTTCTCCCCTATCATGAGTGGACATGCCCCCTACTGCTGATTGGCTACAAGTGTGTTGTGCTGCTCAGTCTGCTTTCAACAGTATTTCTTAGAAATCAGTTACTGCACCTGTGAGGTGTATTTATGTTGGAATTACTGTAATTACGAGAAGAAAAAGCATTAATGTCTATATAGAACTTATAGAAAATGTATACATTTAAAGTCCCTGTAAAGGCAATTATACAAAAAAGTTTTAAACACATTTTAAATGTTACATATGTATTGCTAAAACATATTACAAAGACTGTGAACTGTGAAGTACTGAAATGTGGAGTTAGACCGTTAAACAGTTTTTCACCATTGCAATTTTACGGATCGTTTGGGCGGGGCTAAAACAGGGCTCGATGACGCACTGGAGCCCATGAGCTCCTGGAGACGCCCCTATTTGATGACGCACAGAGTCTGATCTCTCCCCTTACACCCCGAGCACATTCGCATTCACCGCTCAATCGTGATTGACTGTCAGTACTATTAGTTACTACAGCTGAACCTACAGTTTGCTACCTAGCTATGCCTTCGACACAGACATGCATAGGCTACTACCTGGATGCGAGGGGGGGGGGTTCTTGGGGGGGTTGTTAGTTGACTGGATTGATAACGGGGGCGAGGGAGACACATACACACAAGGCAACACTGGCAACACTGATTTAAATTCCCTAAAAACGATCACATCAAGAAGAGGTTTTTAGAGAGCCAACCTTGATGAAGAGCTGAGGATCACCGCCAACATCCGCCTTTGTAGTGATCATTTTACATAGAATAGTTTTATAAACTTTTGTTGGAGATAACTGCGTTTGAGAGCAGAGAAAACTGCTCATTTTTTCAAAATTTTAATAGCTTATTTTATGAATTTGCCGGCTTTTTTATCATTCAAATTTGGCTTGGTGGCTAATAACACATTTTTCTTTGGTGTGACAAACTCAGAACACATACTTAATTTTGACTTTACAGGGATATCTTATCAACAACCCCAAGCATAAAAACTTGTAAGTACTACAAATTTTATCAATGTAAGATAACAGAAACGCAGATGGAAAAAAACAAAAAAAAAAAAAAAAACATTACAGGCTAAATAAATAGCGGGCCAATATTGTTGAAAAAAAGAAAGAAAAGAAGAAGAGAAAACAAGGAATCGTGATCACAATTAAACTATAATTATTTGTTTTGTCCCATTATGGCATATTGAAAATATAAAAAGCTCTTATCCAATATGAAACAGTCAAGGGATATGCCTGAAAATGGGAACATGGGGTAGATGCCTGCATCATCCTCCAAAACCTAGCGCTCATATCCGTCCTGCAAGCTTGGGGAATTGAGTGTTGCAAATTGTGTTTGAATTTTCTGGGCACATTTGTGCTGTCAGCTGATTTGCATAAACCCTTTAGCAAATCCTTCGTTCAGACAACATAAACCGCACATTCGAACAATGCTTTCAGTGTATGCAGTTTATTGAATTCCCTCATTAACAAGATGTATTATGAGATTAATTAGGCCACAATGGACATGTCTTTTATCATCCAACAGTGCTATTTTTTTATTTATTTTTTTTTTTGAAATTGTATTCTGGCATTTTTTTGCCAGTTCGTTTTGTTGTGTTAATTTAGGGAATATTTAAGTCTGTGATCTTGGTTGCCTTGCTTTATACCACAGTAAAGTTAATAAAACTTTAATACATTAGATCATCCATAAATATGATTTCTGCCTAAATCGATCAGATATGAAGGTGAAAACAACCACTCCCATGATTCCACGCTAATTCACAGGCAAATACACCTTTGTTTTTGTTTTAAATAAGCAACCTTTATCTTCAATAAAGATTTGTTTACATAAATTAATAATAATCTATTTGATTTGAATTTAATTTCTGAAATGTCCTATTAACATTGCACCATGTCCCTAAAAAAATCAGAGCATCATCCACATAGATTTCTACGCAAATTTCATCATCTTCATCATCTACAAACACTGTATTTAGATTGAGGTAAACAGTTAAAAACGTTAGCAACAGAAGCATATTTTATAAGCGGATAATCATGGCAATATTCCAATGCAATTATTAAAACAGGTCACATGCTACCTCCATACTGTGCTTATCTTATCAATGTTATTATTAACCTTGGATTTAACATGGCCTTGGGTTAACGATGTCAGATTTAAATGCCCTCAAGCATGTATGTTGTCAGTGTAAATGCATAGCATGCACACATTTGCTTCATTAGCAAATTATCTCTACATAGCTGGCAGCAGTAAAGTGGTTTGAAAAAGGTGCTGCTATATTCAACTCTCACGTCTATGCCAAGACAAAGCATCGTGCAACCTAACAAATTTGGAGCATTCTACATAGCTTCCAAGAGTTTAACATTTGCACATTGGCTCTTGAGTAACCCCAGCCTGCAAGGGACAAAGAGGGTTTGTGGCAAGCTGGAGAGACGTGAGAGAATGGCGCGTGACCGGTGGTGCAGTACTGACCTCGTATCTCTCATGGAGGAGCTACGGAAGCATAAAAGGAGGAACGACAACAGTGAAGGATGAGAGAGGACCAGGCCTGTACTTTATGTTATATTTTGGTTTATGTGTGTGCTGCAGTCATCCGTGAGGGGCTGTCACTTTTACATTTACAATATTATAAACATTTATATATTATAATATTACTTTCTTAATATTACGTTGCTTATAAACATATTTTGTTACAATCATCCTTCACAAACAAGGAACAGAATACAAAAAAGATAGCAAAGGCACAAAATGTTACTAGAGCCACCATTGGAAGCATAGTTGGGCAGTTTGGCATAACTGGATGGGGCAGAAAAGGGAAGCTAACAATGGCTGCAACTAGATTTCTGAGAAGGTAGGTTCAGAAAAACCATTAAGTGAGTGCAAAAGACCTACAGCAAGAACTGG